GCCAGGTGAGGCTGGGAGGGGACCTTGTGTGTGTCCACTTTTATGTGTTATGTGAATACAGGAGAGAGGGGGAGAGGCACAGAGGGGAGGGCCACAGAGACAAAACTCTGGCAGAAACCCAAACCAGAGAAACCAAGGCCAGAGTTTCTGGCTCCGTGACCTTGAGCCACGCATGGTTCCAGGACCTGGTTCCCTCCTCTGTGAAGTGGAGGATCTCAGAGGCCACCGCCCAGGGTTGTGGGCCCCCACCTGGGCCATCTGTGGGCACAGCAGTTCCTTACAGTGGAGGACAGAGGGATGGGGTTGAAGGGGGTCAAAATCTCCTGGAAACGGCACTCTCCGTGTCCAGGAAACCCGGCGCCCGGCCCAGGGCTGCTCCCGGTTCCCTCTGTCCCACCCCACTCCTGGGGAACCCAACGGAGGGACTAAAACCAGACGGGTCCCTCCGGCTCCTGCGCTCCTGGTGTCCACCACTGGAGGGCGCTGCGGGGCCGCGGAGCGGGGCTGGCCGCAGGCTCCTTCAAGGACACAGCCCACCCCAAGCCCGGGCAGGGCCGGCGCACAGCATTTTGGAAACGTTGTAACAGCCATGAAAATGTTCGCCCAGTCATTCCTCCTCTGAGCCCCCATCGAGCTGTGTGACCCAAAGCAGGGAAAAGCAACGCGCACAGGGAGTTTTCCACGTACTTTACAAGTGCGAGGTAAAAAATCTGGGAAGCCACAAACCAAAACATAAGTGGATTAAATTCCATGGTGTTCACAGCCCACTCTCTGCACATTATTATGATGACTTCAGAGAAAAATAAAGCTATCCAAAATAATGCAGGCCACTGAGCTTTTTTTTTCTCTTCCTTTTCCGTCGACCTTGGTGGGATCATAGACAAACACCCCTGCGTCTGAGGGTGATCCCCCTTTTAAGCATCGAGTGCTGGAAGAGTGTGCTGGAGAACCTCGTAATTCTTAGTTCACATCTCGGAAGGGATTGGGTGGAAGTTGGAGCATGAGGAGGTGAGGAAGGGGCACCTCAAGGTCAGAAAGGGGCCAGGGAAAGACTGTGTGGTGGGCAAAGTGCTATGATGGTCCCCTGTTCCGCCCCCGGTCACCCCATCTTAGGATCCCTGTCCTGGACTGTGAGTGGAGACCAAGGCTTGCTTCCACCTAACAGAGGGTGACAAGGGGAAGGGACCTTTCAGGTGTGATTAGGCTCCATCATCAGTCACCTTTGACTTAATCAAAAGGGAAATTGCCCTGGGTGGGCCTGTACTAATCAGGTGAGCCCTTTAGTAGATGATGTGGGTCCCTCCTAAAAGAGCGTGGGGCAGATTTACCCTCCTGCTGACCTTGAAGAAGCAAGCAGCCATGCATGACCTCAGTTAGGAGCCCAGTCTGGCTACGACACAAATGCACTGGAGACCTTAGATGGAACCTCAGATGGGTGACGCTCTGAGGGCACCTTGAGAGTCCCTGAGCAGAAAGACCTACTGAGCCCAGTCTCCTGGCTGAGACCCTGAGAGATCCCACGTGCTGTTCAC